GAAATAAAAATAGAGACATATATCGGGGAAAATATTTAAAAATATTTTAAAAGAAGCCATTTTAACATGTAAATCTGTATCCTTTTTGGAGGATTTTATTACTGATATAACCAATCATGCTTATTTTAATTACACAGGACATATAACTGTTTAATTGTTTTTATACGAGTTATCGATTAAAAAATTCCTTTATACACAAACGCCATTGTTGATTACCTAGTACCATATTATGGGCGAGAGCTGAAAAGCTTCCTTTCAGGGGAGATAAATCGGTTTCTGACAAGGCCTATAAGCAGCACAAGGCTACTATATTTAGATATTACGAGCTTAATGGAATCGTATATTTTTTGCAAATAAGTTTCAGATTGAAGATTGCTTTCTCTTAAAAAGTACAAAATACACAGCTTCATCTATTGGGTTGAAATATATGGTGGATTTTTGTCTCGATATGAATATAGTCGGAAAAGCGTGTCAGTCACTAGCTACTTTATAAATCAAAGAGATTCAGTGATTTACTGCTTGGTCACGGTTTGGCGAAATACATGAAAGGATGAGGAAAATGGAGTAAAGTTCTTTGCTCATGAACACAATAAGGCTTGGTCTGGACAGAATTCAAACTCAGACCTTCTGGTCGATAGTCCGGCACACTTTTCACTGAACAATAGTAGCACGGCCACACCAGTAGTCAAGAGATGGGCTAGTCTAATACCGTTAGTACACAAGTTTCAGTCTAGAGGAGGAAAGCCTGTGTCTGATTTTCTCCTGAAATATTTGAAGCATAAGCCGGATATATTGCCGGATAATCTTCTCCCAGAAAATTAATATAATTATTGTGAAAAATAAAAATGTCCTTCGCAGGAGAAATTAAGAATGAACTGTCTATGTGGGGCATACTTACATATATCAATCAGTATGTACTATGTACGAATTTTTATCGGAGAATGCTGAAAAGGGCTTTTGCGTACGGGTATGGTTCATACTAAAGAATTTCTTGAGCATGATAATTGTATGATGTATTTTGATATTTGGGCTTGATCTATAACGCGAGGGGTGCCGAATGAAATCACAACCGCATGGATTATTATTGCCCATACAATTATATTCCAAGAATTTGAAGAACGAGTTTTATTAACGAAAAGGCAGGAAGAGGACATACGCTTTTTAACGGGTAATATGGCTTGCTACAGTTTTGCATTAGTGTAGTCGTCATCATAATTTTATCCTGAACTCAAGCATTCCTTAAGAATATTTTATCTTAATTGTTTTCCCATCATATTTCTATCACGTTAAAAAAACAACACAAACATTTGAATGGTTTATTGTTTTGTCAGATATCAGAGTAAATTACGATAGTAGATAAGTTATTTTGGCTAATAAAAAAGCCATTACAATTTGAAACGTTGGAGGTAATAGTAGAAACTTAGTTGTAACATCTATCGATATTAAATTCTCAGCACCAACTATTGTAGAGTGAATCCAGCCAGCTCTAGTTTTTGAAGATCTAAGTGAGGAATTTAGCATAAATTGTGGCAAATATTGTGTCTCGACACATTACTCTGCTATTAGCTATTTCCTATATTTAGATTTGTTAGTTTTACCTATTATATTCCATGTATTATGTACTTGAAGTTTTCTATTTCTAATATCATCCCCGGTCGCAGAGAGAGAGAGAGAGAGAGAGAGAGAGAGAGAGAGAGAGAGAGAGAGAGAGAGAGAGAGAGAGAGAGAGAGAGAGAGAGAGAGAATCTAATTTGATTCAAACAACAGGAACGTTGTCTCATAACAAAAAAAGCTATCAGATTCACTTAATCATTAAGTTAAACGAATGAGCACGCGAGCAAGTAATTGACCGATCTATCGATTTATTATTGATTAAGAACGGAAAAAGACGACGTGTTAAGTAACAAAGATGATTGGATTGTCAAATTGTCAACTATCAACCTTCTCTGCTATAGGCAGTGGACGATTTATGTATGAATGAATTACAACACTTGCCTATTTACGGAACGTTGTGTAAATATTGAAGGCCTTAGATAACGGCCACCTGCTGGTTGTAACAATAACATCCTAGTTGTATACGAATATCCACAGACAAATCCAACAGCATATTATAGCCATGAATAATTCATTCTCAGTTAGCGCAGCATGATGAAGTGCCGAGCTATATTAAACACGAACAGATGATAGGCTTCATAATAAGCCCAACAGAGATGGAGTTAAAGCGGACTTTGGACTGTCATTTTGCCAAATGATTTAACTGAAGTGAATGCCGCAAATTAGGCCATTAATTTTCTCTAATACACCGAGAGTAAGTGGAAATCATTATAAGACGGTGTTATATAGAGATTGTTCAAAACGCAGGAAAAACAATTTACAATTTGTGAATGTACATACTAATTATATTTAGATTACACAGGGAAGAGGATTTAGTAAGAAACCATGGAGTAGGACACACACACACACACACACACACACACCTCTTACAGCTTAATAATAATACACACACACCCCTCTTACAGCTTAATAATAGTACACATTTATGAACTTAACCAACGCCTTTTATGTTTTATCAGGGCCTGATTGGGTCTTGTGTGTGTGTGTGTGTGTGTGTGTGTGTGTGTGTGTGTGTGTGTTGGTGGGTGGGTTTTGGGGCAGACCCGTTTTAAGAAGTTTGGGGGCCCATAGGCACAAATTCTGCCCTTAAAATTGTGTCTCAGTCTCTCAGTCTCAGATATAGAGTATTGCAATGCATTTCCATCTGCATGTGTGTCATTTTGTTAAATTTATTAATATACTATTAAACTGCTAACACAACCGACACCGAAATTTTGTTTTTTGGCCGTTAAGGTTCCTCCTGCTGCGTGTGGCCCTAGGCACGTGCCTCGCGTGTCTATGCCTTAAAAAAGCAATGATTAGGGATTGGTTTGACCCATTATATTACGACCATCACGGGAATATGGTCATACTAAAATTCTAAATATCTACGCGTAATACAACCGTAGAAATACACTAATTGGTCGATGAATTATCATCAGAGCGTTTGTTTGAAACAGATTAAGTATCCGGATCGTGACTCAAGCGTTGCATAACGCCCTTCCCATCTATATTCGCACGTGACAATTCTTGACCATTGTATTATGGAGTCTATTAAAAGCTGCGTATTACTTGATGTGACGTTAATCCCTCTAAACCAAAGTACACTTAGTGTTCAAAGTTTAACGGCACTTGTGAATCATATCATATGAACAAAATGTATGTAAACTTCACCGATTAAACGAAACATGGAACAAATTCAGTGTTATTTTATGACACATTTTTTTAATACTATTTTCTCCCTGAATCTGTCAGAATCCGTTTCGCGTGTAGCTTCAGATACCCCCCCCCAAATAACTAAATAAACTTTTAAATATTTAATAAATGTTTCGGTTATAGTTTTGTGGGTACACGTGCGCAACCATTGACGGATTTAGGACAAATGAAGCCCTGTAATAGTTACCCATACTTGGCCCGATAGGCATACACAGGTTGTTGTTGTTGTTGGGCTTAACGCCATTTTTCAGCACACGATATGCTATTCATGGCGGCCAGTATTAATGGTGGAGGAAGAAACCGGGAAATCACCGGAAAGAACCACCGACCCACGAGAAGCTACTGGCAAGCTTTCTCACATTTCCACATTCGCCGAATCCTAGACTCGAACCCACGCAGATAGAGGTGAGATGGCAGTGATCCGTAACGGACAGCACTTTAGACCACTCGGCCACTCGGGGCCCCTGGCATACACAGGTAGTCAGTCATATATACTCATGAAATTTATTAAGGAGTAGTTAAAATAGCTACAGACTTTTGAAAAATTCATCGTATTTTTTTTTTGCCAACAGGGAACCTGTGTTTAAGCACACCTAAGCACCATGGTAAATCCGGTACTGTGTGCAACCAAACAGACTGTGACAGTTGATATGAGACCACCCTCACCTTTATACTCTTTGAAAGTCTGTTAATGATATTCTCTCGCCTGTCTGTCTTCTCTCTCTCTCTCTCTCTCTCTCTCTCTCTCTCTCTCTCTCTCTCTCTCTCTCTCTCTCTCTCATATATATATATATATATATATATATATATATATATATATATATATATATATATATATATATATATATATATATATATATATATATATATATATATCAGGCGAACTTCTTAAAACGGCTCTAGGGGGTAGTTCCAAAATTTTCAAAACAGCCATGTCTTGCCTCAAACGGGCACCAAAGCCAAGTCAGAGTCCATATACACCAAGAGTGCACAATACTCAAAAATCGTGCGCAAGAACAAAACGGTGGAGAAATTAAAAGTGATTTTTTTTTTTAGGTGGTGGTGGTGTCAGGAAACTGCCCCCCTCATCAGGCCCTGCAGTCTATATTTGCCGCGAGAGAGAGAGAGAGAGAGAGAGAGAGAGAGAGAGAGAGAGAGAGAGAGAGAGAGAGAGAGAGAGAGAGAGAGAGAGAGAGAGAGAGAGAGAGAGAGAGAGGCTAGATATACAAAGTGTGAAACGTCAACAACGCTTATAAATGCAAAACGTGACAATAAAAGAACATAATCAACAGTCTTTATACATAAATGCAACACTTTATAGGATTATCTTTGCGTACTTCTCCCATTTATCCCTTTTATTGACGTAACTACTACTCATACAAAATTAATGCAATGTCGATTGCACATCTTTTACATTTATGTTAAGCTGCCATTCTTAAATTTAAATCATAATCAGAGAGAGAGAGAGAGAGAGAGAGAGAGAGAGAGAGAGAGAGAGAGAGAGAGAGAGAGAGAGCACCTAATGCCTGACTGATTATTTCTAAAATCGTCGGTAGGGCAATAGGCGTCTATGCACCACTACATTCGTTACAAACAGCGGAAAAATTTTTTCCATTGGAAGCGCTATAAATAGACCACCACCTCCAATCGCAAATCTTCATATTCTATTGAGCGGTGCTCGATTGCTCGAAGGGCCTGTGGCCAAATTGGATAAGGCGTCTGACTACGGATCAGAAGACTGCAGGTTCGAGTCCTGCCAGGCTCGTATTTACTATTTTAACTTATTTTTTATTTATGTTAATTTCCTTTCATTTTTGTGTTTACTTCTGGTAGTGGAGAGTGTAATTTCTTATAATCTTTGACGAGGGCATCAGAGAAACTCGTCAATCTTTATGGCAAGGATAAGTGTACTCTGGTGCCATGACCTATTTCCGTTACTCTTTGTTATGAGGGTCCTTCATAACGAAGGGTAACGTGGTGGAGAGAGTTCACGAAACCAGTCTAGGATAAGTGGTATATTGTAATTAAAATGATTCCATGGTTTTGGGGGAAAGCCCTCATTCAGACAGTGACAGAAAGTGCCTGAGTTTTTTCGTTTTAAAAACGGTTTATACAAGGTTCAGTCAATATAGTACTAATATTAGTACCTTAGTCCTACCTTGTGGACAACAAAACAAGTTGAGGCTACGTCATCGTAGCTACTAGAACAGTTGATAAAACTAGGGCGTCAGCGGGGTGGGGGATGGGGTGGTGAATGAATATATATATATATATATATATATATATATATATATATATATATATATATATATATATATATATATATATATATATATATATATATATATATATAATTATAATTTAGAGTATGAATATTTTATTACATATAAGAAACCTTAGGTTCTCGGAACTAATGTGCTGACAATAAACGATAACAACAATTTACATCAACAATCAGTTCTACTTACTAATATACATTATTCTTTTTTTTCTAGTTATACAAGTTTGTTTCTTTGCTACATCTTTGCTACATCTGCAAAACCCTCCCTCATTTATAATTTATATTTTAATAATCCATTCAGAAAAAAAATTGTTTTACGTCTCTTCAATTACACATGGTATTTAAAAACACTTGCGTGTTCCCGCCCTCACATCCATTTATAATTTCTGTGTAAAAATAAGAAGCTACTCTACATTATAAACGGTGTTAAGGACAACAGTTCAAATAATGGCTGGCTAATACATCCTTAAGACACCATTTATATTGATAAATAAAAAAAGACTAGGACAAGATTACGCAAACATCCAAAGTCCAACCTATAGGATAATGCTAATACATTGGAAACACGTAACCTTTAAATATATCATCCAAAGGGAGGAAAATCCATCCAAAATAAACCACGTGTAAGGGTCCATAGTTTATCTAAATATTCCCTATCCATGATTTGTAATGTTATATTTTTCCACAGCAAGAAGCATGTACTTCATTTTTTGGGGATAAATGTACGTCATTTCCTGCTGTCGTCCAACATTTCCGGCAATCAGATTCTATAAGCATACTCGCAAGACAAGAAACTAACACACTAAATATACAGCACTTTAAGGTAGCAGTAACAAAGTATTTACTTGTATTTTTTAAAACGACCATTTACACAAGAAGCTCCCAGATCAGAACTTTAAGCGCGATTTCAAAAATGGTTAAGGTATTCGTATAATACATGTACAAAGGAAAGAATTCCATAGTCAGGCTGCTGCATACCTGAAGACTGTAGCTCATTCCTTGATATTCTTACTTTCGGGTTCTCCAGTGTTTATACACCTAAAAGAGTAAGAAAATTGTTTCAAAACTACCAGATCAATTAAATATCTTCAACAATTTCTGGCTAAACTTTTGAATGCTAAAAACAATGATATGTTGTTTTTTTATATTCTTCTGATGTGAAGAATTTAAACATTTGCCAAATCAATGAGTTCAAAATAGAGTTTGTTTAAATCACTGAAGACAAACCTCAGAGCTAGTTCCTTTAGATTCTTTTAAGTGTGTCGATTTTCTTTTTCTTTTTATAAAGTCGGCCAAGATAGACAAGCCAACTTTGATTCCTTTTTTACCTGTATTAACGGGAATTTTCAAAATAAACTGAAACAATGGAATAGTTTTGAAAGCGACACAATCTAGTTTACATCTTGCAAGCATATCTATATAAGGCTGATCATTAAATTAATTTTCAGTAGTTTATCTAAATATTCCCTATCCATGGTTTATAATGTTATATTTTTTCACAGCAAGAAGCATGTACTTCGTTTTGTGGGGATAAATTTACGTCATTTCCTGCTGGCGTCCTCTATAGGTAGGAAATCGTAGCTAAAGGGTAGTAACTGCGTTGTATACGTCTTTTTCGAGTAATTAAATTATTATTTCTTCTTTACACTTGATATTTTTTAATTCTTTTTGTGCTAGTATAACCACTTTTAATAATGTAATGCAAATCTGAAATAAACAGAAAAAAGTTGGAGTGTGGCCGGTGACCTTTAATGGAATTTTCAAGTTTCTTTATATTATTGAGACTGCAGAAATGTCAGTTTAGGAGACAGTAGTTAAAGTTTGTGCCATGATGAAAAAAGGGTACACATTCAGTTCGCCTTCAGTTGTAAGGTATTTTATAATTCGTATGAGCACACGTAATCGTTTTGATACTTTCTGAGATTATATTTCTGTGATTTGCTAATAAAAGTTAAGTTTTCATAAATTAAGAAATGTCTTCTTTTAGCATTTCGAGTCTTCACAAGGTATTTTAGCCTCGCAGGAGGAGAAAGTGTTTATGCTGTTCGCTGGTTTTGTTTTCAAGTTTGGAACTTATCATGGATTGATTTCATTGGTTGGTGAGTAAACCACCTGATCAAAGTATTATACTCCTTTCTCAAGTAGGATCCGTATTATTAAGTAGTGGCGAGCGTAGGCAATTGTGTTTTCATCGGAATATATATATATATATATATATATATATATATATATATATATATATATATATATATATATATATATATATATATATATATATATATATATATATATATATATATATATATATAATTTATCCTAAAGAATTTGTCATTAATAAAAATATTATAAAACATGGTTCCAAGAAATGATCCCTAGCGTACCCCTTTATTAATATTTAACCATGAACTGTAAGAGTTTCCTATTTTGACACATTGTCTTTTTTGAAAAGTAAGTTAAGATAACGATTTCTCTCAAAACAATGTCCGTATGCTGCCATTTTATAGAAAAGTTTTTTTGGTAAATAGTCAAATGCTTTTAATAAATCCACTGAAATAACTGCAACCTATTTGTTTTGCCCTATGTCTTATCGCAAGACGTGTAGAAGTCGAATAGTCTAATATAAAAAGCAGAGAGGCATCGGTGTCAGATATTGTCTGAGGACCGAGCGATCTGGTCGCAGATAGCTCGTTCGAAGTACTTCGATTTAGATAATACTGGCAGGACTATATTTGTTTATCAAGTGGCCCATTTTCTTATATATCTGGATCACACGTGCTTCCTTGAGTCATGCTTGGAAAAGTGTCAAGGCTGTAGTTTATGAGTTTGTTTATATGAACAGTCTTACACTGAGTTCCAAGTTTTAATAAATTCAGTGAAACAAGATTTATCCTATTTGCCATTTTAATGCTGATATTGGATACTGCTTTAGGTGGAAAGGCTTTAGAGACACGATATAAATCAACTTTTGAAGAGTTATTGAAAGTATTTTTGATATCCAGTATATTAGGATGTTCATTATAGTTTAGGTAATTGTAGCCCATAGCAACATCAATGATGATCCCTGCCACATAGGGCTGATTAGATATACTCTCATCATTTTCATGTAAGATAACTGAGTTGGTGCCAAGACACCTTTGTTTATCAGGAAGGGCATAATGGTTGGCAAAAATTCTTTCTTTCGGTTCCGCCTGAGCAGCTTTCGAAAAAGTAAACATGCATGATTTGAACGTTTGAGTATTCACCACATTTCTATAATTTTTAGTCTTTTGCATTTCTTTCCAGTTTTGGTACGTTCCAGATCTCTTGTATTTACGAAGTAGTTGAACTTATCTGTATTGCTTTTATTCGATTTCCATTGATAAAGGGAGCTAATTGTTTTCTTTGCCTTTTAGGAGTTAAGGGGAGCCTGATATTCGATCACATTAATTAGGAATTGATAGCTATTGCTCAAAGGGCAAAAATATATAATCGGCATTATCAAATATATAAGCAAGATGAAAAGCTGTAGACCGTAGGTCGATATTGAATGTATTCTGGTTTAAATCCTTTACATTGCGGTATGTAAATTTACTGCGGTTGTTGTTGGTGCCTTTCTTTGATCAATGTGAAAATCACATTATGAAAGACAGTGGGAGTATTTTCAAAGTTAAACAGGTACCACTTTTTGAATACTAGGACAACACCTATATGTGCCATTTTGTCTTGTTTTGTTTTTAAACAGATCGGTCCCGAAATTGTTTTTCATGCTAAAAGCGTGAGAATGTCAATAAGAGACTGACTGACACTTGTTATCGCCTAAAAGGTCGAAATTTAGGTCTTCTAACAGTATGAAATATCGCGAACGAATAGTAATTTTCATCTAATAACGAAGTACCGTCCTTAGTGAACCTAGTGTCTTGCCAGTTGGGGGCAGGAGGGTTGTAAGATTCATTTATGTTTAAACGGCTATTTTATTTTTGTAGATATACATTCAATATGCTTGAGGTCTGTCCTTTTTGAGGTCAGTATGTCTGATGAAACAAAAAAGACCCAACCACTATGTACAGCACAATTTTTCCGGAACATACGATATCCAGTAGTTAAAGAAGTAAACTGTGCATCTTTGAATGATGAATCTGTCTCGGTTACAGTTAGTGCCAATAAATCTACCGTTTGGTGGATCAAGGGCTATGAACTTTCACCAGATTTAGAATGAATACTGTTGATACTGAGAACGGATTGGGAAAATTTGATCTAATTTCAGTGATAGGCTGCTCGGGTCCTTCGTTAAATTATATATATATATATATATATATATATATATATATATATATATATATATATATATATATATATATATATATATATATATATATATATATATATATATATATATATACAGTAGACTCTCGATTATTCGCGGTAATGGTGGGGAGAGCTAGCGCGGATAATCAAAAACAGCGGATAAACCAAAGTGCATATATACAATCCAGATATAGTGGCAT